GTGGGGGGGAGGGGGGGGATTGTGTGTGGGGGGGGGGGGGGGGGGTATTTCCCTATTCCATCTCAGCCACTTCTTTAACTCTCTCTCTCTCTAAAGCAGTCTCTGCATCTTTTACTGCAAGAACCAAGGATGTTTTAAAAATGCAAATCTCTTTGCAAGGGCAAAGGACCAGCTCTGTTTCCCACAGCCACATTGGAACGGCGGTGTCACCAGCCAGCACTGGGCTTTTGTGCTTGTAAATTAAGTATTTCCCTATTCCATCTCAGCCACTTCTTTAACTCTCTCTCTCTCTAAAGCAGTCTCTGCATCTTTTACTGCAAGAACCAAGGATGTTTTAAAAATGCAAATCTCTTTGCAAGGGCAAAGGACCAGCTCTGTTTCCCACAGCCACATTGGAACGGCGGTGTCACCAGCCAGCACTGGGCTTTTGTGCTTGTAAATTAAGATGCATTAGCTCAGAGAGAGACACGTGTAATGGCCACGTTTTGGTTGCCATAAGAGGTGCTTCGGCCTGGCATCGATGCAGGGTGGGTTTTGCCTTGTGTTCACAAACGCATACATGCCTGACAGCCTCTGACCACAAGGGCCTGGCACCATGCATGAAAGTAACCAGATGCACATCCCACTGCCTTCTCACACATTCAACACCATCCCGGTAAGGGCACATGTACGCCACCTGCACAGCATTTTGCACGCCCAGTTGCATACCCAGGCTTGTAGAAATCCAATTTATGAAGAACAGCACTGGGAAGTAAACAGTGGGATTTAAATTACTCTGATTCAAAGGGAAGCAGAGCAGTTGGTGGGGTGGGCTATATTTAAGGTCACATCCCTGACCGCAGCAGCAAACCACAGCCTTTACATGCCTGGTATTTGAATTATATGAGAACATATCAACCACACCGGCTCAGACCAAAGCTCCATCTAGCCCAGTATCCTGTCTTCCCACACTGGCCAATGCCTGGAGCCGCAGAGGGAATGAACAGAACATAGTAACCAAGTGATCCATTCCTTGTCACCTATTCCTGGCTTTCGGTAAACAAAGACTAGGGACACCACCCCTGCTCATCCTAATAGCCATTGATGACCTTACACTCCATACATTTATCTAGTTGTTTTTTTAACCCAGTTCAAAAGACCTTCACAGCATCCTCAGGCACTTCCTTGTTTACTTTCTCCACCCCAATCATGATCTGAGAGACCTCGATCATATATCTCCTTTGCTGTCTCTTTTCTAAGATGAATTGTCCCCGTCTGTTTACTCTTGCCTTGTACAGAAGCTGTCCCATGTGCCTTTTCCAATGCTAATCTATCTTTTTGGAGACAGTGAAACCAGAACGTCACACAGTGTTTAGGAATGGGGGGGAACCATGGATTTATGTAGCGGCAATATATTTTCTGTCTTATTACCTATCCCTTTCTTAATCATCCCCCAACATTGTTAGTCTTTTTTGGAATAATGTTTTCCAAAGTGCTTTACTTTGCATTTGTCAACATTGAGTTTCATCTGCCATTTTGTTGCCCAGTAACCCAGTTGTGTGAGATCCCTTTGTAACTCTCTGCAATATGCTTTGGACTTAACTATCTTGAGTGAAAAGTCTCAGCGGGTTAAGCTGTGTTACTCTGTAACTGTAAAAACAACAAAGAGTCTTGTTCCACTCCAACTCATCTGATGAAGTGGGCTTGACCCAGGAAAGCTCACGACTTACTAAATCTCTCAGGTGCCACAAGACTCCTCATTATCTTAAGTAGTTTTGTATCATCTGCAAATGTTGTCACTTCATTGTTTACCCATTTTCCCAAATCAATTATGAATATGTCAAACAGCACTGGTCCCAGTACAGATCCCAGCAAGACACCATGATTCACCTCTCCCTTGTGAAAACTGACCATTTGTTTTTTAACATTTACTGATCCATAAGAGGACCTTCCCTCTTAAATCAAGTAAGCTTTCATGGGACAAGAGTCTTTGGTGAGGGACATCAAGGCTTTCTGAAACTATGATATAATCACTGGATACTCCTCATCCACAGGCTTGTTGACTTCCTCAAAACATTCTAGTAGATTAGTGAGGCATGATTTCCTTTTAGAAAAACCATGGAAGGACTCTTCCGCTTTCCCGCAACAAATTGTTAATCTGCGTGTCTAATAATTCTGTTCTTTACTATATTTCAACCAGATTGCCTGATACTGAAGGTTGGATCACCAGCCTGTAATTGCCAGGATCACCTTTAGACCCTTTTAAAAAAAATGGTTTTATATTAACAAGAAATCCTGTGACACCTTATAGACTAACCGATTTATTGGAGCATAAGATTTTGTGGGCAAAGACCCACTTTGTCAGGTGCATGTCTTTGCCCATGAAAGCTTATGCTCCAATAAATCTGTTAATCTGTAAGGGTGTGTCTAGACTACATGGCTCTGTAGACGGAACCGTGTAAAGTAGTTTACTCAACATAGTCAATGAAGCAGGGATTTAAATAATCCCCGCTTCATTAAAATTAAAATGGCCGCCACGCTGTGCCGACAATCAGCTGATCCGGCACAGCATGGCAGTGTAGACGTGGATCAGTCGACAAGGGAAGCCTTTGTCGACCGCTCCAGTAAACCTCGTCAACCGATCTGCGTTTAGAGTGCCGTGCTATGCCAGATCAGCTGATTGTCGGCACAGCGTGGCGGCCATTTTAATTTTAATGAAGCGGGGATTATTTAAATCCCTGCTTCATTGACTATGTCGAGTAAACTACTTTACATGGCTCCATGGATGGAACCATGTAGTCTAGACACACCCTAAGGAGCCACAGGACTTCTCGTTGTTTATGCAGATTCAGACTAACACAGCTACCCCAGATACTGATTATGTTCGTTATCCTACAGTCAACATTTGAATTCCTTCAGAACTCTTGGGTGAATACTGTCTGGTGCTGGTGACTTGTGACTGGTCAGTTAATCAATTCATTCCATCACCTCCTCTAATGCCACTTCAATCTGGAACAATTACTCAGTCGTCACCTATAAAAATGGTTCAGGTTTAGGAACGTCCCTCACCTCCTTGGCCAGGAAAACAGATGCAAAGAGCTCATTTAGTATCTCTGCATTTATTTCCTTTGAGTGCTCCTTTAGCAGATAGCCACGAAAAGTGGGAGAAAAGGAGATGAATGTGTGGTGAGGCTCTTCAAGAGAGTTTTTGCAATTAAATGGTAAACTAAGCAGATGTACAGCCACTCCCCAACTTACAAACACACCGACTTACGACCATCCGTACTTACAACCAACGTCCCATTAACCCCATTACAATATTTTCGAGTTGAGAACCACGTACATCAAGTTTTTCAAACAGCGCAGGCAGCGTGTTTAAGGGTATTTCCGACTTACGACCAAATTGAGTTACAACCAGGTGTTCAGAACGTAACCCGTTCGTAAATCGGGGACTGCCTGTATATTGAAGCCCCAGCAGCAGTTTATTTGTAACATGTCAAAACCACCCTGCCTGAGCAAGTCATGTGTCCATTAGCTCCGCTGCCTCATGTCAAAGCCCAGAAAAGGTGTGTCCAGGGAGCTGTCCCCCATAGGAACAGCGCTATCGGCACTCCTACTATTTATATGGCACCACAGAAAAGACTAGACATGAAGTGCACATTTTTATCCATGAGGGTAAGTTTTCAATGGAAAATTCACAAGGGTCATGATGGAGTCTTCCTCATTTGCAGTCTCTATAATAAGACTGATGCCTTATTATACAAAATTTGTATCTGCATCCACATCTGCAAAAATGAGCTGCAGACCTCCGCCTCCACAGATACCTACAAATAGTAAGTGGATATCCACAAATTTGCAGGGTTTTTTATACAAAATAGCTACATCTAAATGGCACTCTCTTGAAGAACATAGCCAAACAGTCATCACCACGCCTCATTTGCATACTTAATGAGCCACTGTTTTGCACAGGAGCCGTTCTGCAGCTTATTTACAGGCAGAGCGGCTCTTGCGCAAGAGGGGGGTTTTGTGCAAGAAGCAGCAGGGCAGACTGCTCCTTCTTGCACAAAAGCCCCTTGCGCAAAAAATGGCAGCTCATTAAGTATGCAACTGAGGCACGGCAATATTCATCGGTTCACCTCATTTGCATATGCTCTTGCACAAGAGAGCGTAATGTAGACAAAGCCAATGTGCATACACATACATATCTGCAAAAAAGAGCCATGGTTATCCATAGCCATATCCCCAGATGCAAAGTGGATATCTGTGGATTTGCAGGACTCTACTGATGCCTTTCTAACAAAGATGCGAGGGCTCCGACATAAGTAATAGATTGACTAAAAAGTTACTAAGTGAGGTTATGTGGGCCCATGTTGTGCAAATGGTTCAGCTAAAAACAGTGGTACCTTCACTGTGATGAAAGCCAAGCTCACAGTGCAGCTGGGCATAAGATAACCATAAACAAAGGGCAGGGTAGTTAGGGAGCATCAGAGTGGCAGGGATAAGGTGGCTTATGGAGGGGGATTGTTTGCTCCACCATTTCTCCTCTCTGAGCCCTTTCCTCCCCACGGCCACCTCCATAAATCAGGGCTTGTCTCCATTACACAGTGGATCGACGCTGCACTGATAAATCCACCAGTGGTTGATTTATCCCATCAGCTGACGCAAAACGTCAGCCTCTGAGCGCTCTCCTGCCGCATGAGGACGAGAAGAGTAGTGGAATCGGTGGGAGAGTATCTGCTGCAAACCTTACTGCATGGAAGACACTGCAGTAAGTAGGTCTAAGTATGTCGACTTCCCCTATGCTGAAGGGGGCACAGTATAGATCAGTATTGCCACTAATCTTTTTGATTCATGTGCGGATTTATGCCATCCATGTGCAGAATACATTTTTGTGCGCACCGAGGCATTGGTGAATGTGCACCAACAGTAGAAACAAAAAAATTATTGTGGGTGCTGTGCTAATGAGCTGGTTGGACTTTCTCCTAAGTGGATGCATAGGCACAC